GTCGTCCGGTCTCGGGCCTCGGCCCTAATTATTTTTGGAGCGAGACTTTTTGGAATTTTGTGCCAGGGAGCTCAAGTTTTAGACTAATTTCCTGCTGATAATTGTCTAGAGTCGTCCCTTGGTCATTTTTGGATTCTGTTTCGGTAAGTTTGAGATTTTCTTCAGGAAATATTAACCTACAACACGTGTTCCATTTTTTTTAATAGGACTGTTCCGAGCAGCATTTGGAAGTTTAAGACTTCACCTTTGGTCTAGAGTCTAGAGTATCCCTCAATTTGAGGTAAGATTATTTCTAATATTTGGGGCTCGATTTGTTTTTTTATACGAACATCGTTATAGGGTCCTAGTCTCAGGCTATAGTTGGACAATCCTAGTCGCAGGCTATAGTTGGACAATCCTACTCCTAGTCTCAGGCTATAGTTGGACAATCCTAGTCTCAGGCTATAGTTGGACAATCCTACTCCTAGTCTCAGGCTATAGTTGGACAATCCTAGTCTCAGGCTATAGTTGGACAATCCTAGTCTCAGGCTATAGTTGGACAATCCTAGTCTCAGGCTATAGTTGGACAATCCTACTCTTAGGCTATAGTTGGACAATCCTAGTGCTAGGCTGTAGCTAGACAGTCTTAGGCTATAGTTGGACAGCTCCTAGAAAGAGATTCTAGACTAGATCTAGATTGCTCTTAGTTGGCTTTCGTAGCCTTTTTCCAGCAACTCTCTTGGTACCACTCTGGCAGAACCACGTCGAGTTCTACGTTAAACAGATACAACGTGGATAGGACTCATGACTCACTTACCATACCATAGTCTATCTAATAGTGAGACCAAACCTGTAGATAACCTCACTTTGGAAAGTTCTGGATTTTCACATACATTTCACTTGTATACATGTAAGTTGCACTTTTACTATTTAGGCAAATCATATATAAATCATCTGACGCCGAATTACGTCAGTACGTGCCCCTTAAATAAAATTCTAGAATTTTACCCTGAGGTTGCCCAAAGAATAACTTTCACCTTTCTGTGTTAAATTTGCCTGTTGGTAGAGTGTAACCCATACTGTTTTTTTTAATCTTCCACAAGTGTTAATAAACAGTTAAAACTGTTTATTTTAAATCCATATATTCATTATTTACATTTTTTTTTATTTATTCAAATATTCACAAATTAGGTACAAGCCTAATCCTAAACACCTTTTTTAATAACTTCGTGGCTACTTATTGGCGCAATAGTTAAGTCCTAATTACTTGGTGGCTACACTTTTTGGCGCCTTATTATTATTGTTATTATTTTTTAATAAAGAAAGCCAGATACATTATTGTACCTAATTAGTTGTTTTATTGTTAAGCGCTCCAATTGTACAAGTTTTGTTATAACATCAATAAGTAATCTTCCTAGTTAAGTCACAATTAACTTGGTGGCGCCCAAAGGTAAGATGTATACAAGGAACCCATAGACCCATGGCCTCCGGACTGATGCTGACTAGCCGTATGCAGTATAATTGGGCAATTGCCAAAATAAGTAAGTTATAAACCCAAATGTACTAATTTTTGTTTCAATGCGATACAGGGTGATGACAACAAATTATCACAATTTAATGAATCAAACCGCAAAAATGTTATATTTTGAGACAAGCTTACTACAAATTTTGGTTAAGGATGTTCTAAAACTATGTTGTATCAAGTTTTGTTGTTCTCAAGGCATCAAAATATGACATTTTTCGGGTTGGGTCCATTAAATTTTGAAAATTTGTTGTAATCACCCTGTATCAAATCGGAACAAAAATTAGTACAATTGGGTTTTAGACCATTCTAAACAAGAATCTGCTATCAGATTTTCTCTAAAAAAATCCCTAATAGTACTTATTGAAATTTGAGCATATAAATGTGGACACCCTGTACACCAGTACAGCCGCAGAAATAAAATTATGAGCCAAATAAGTGCGAAGTTCGAGTAGATATAAGACAAAAAAAGAATGAATTGAATCGGTTGGGGATCGGGACACACTGTATAAGTAAAAATGGAATAAGGCCAGATAATTCAATAAATAAAACAGGGGTAAAAAGGTTTTTGGGGATGTATACATAGGTACTTATTTTTCAAAATTTATTAAAGATTCATCATCAAAATCGAAAGTTTTGAGAGAATCACTACACGAAAAAAATAGTTTAGTTTTGAATGAAAGTCATAAAAAATGTTCCAAAAATCTGAAACAGGAAATTATTTCAGCACCAGTTGTTACCAATTATCAGACTAATTTTCCTAACAGAATAAGTGCAGACACTAGTGCATATGGGATTGGAGAAATGTTGGAACAAGAACAAGGAAATGGATTATGGAGACCTGCATATTTTTGTTCGAAATCTTTAGGTGATGCAGAAAAAAGATATGGACAAATTGAAAAAGAAACATTACCATTAACCTGGACAACGGAGAGGTTAGAACTATTTTTGTTTGGAAGAAGATTTTGTAAGAATACTTTTAAAGATAAGCCAATTGGCCAATGGTGAAATCATATGTTGTCAGTGAATGTTCTAAATAGGATTGTCCTGAAAAATGTCTGATTTATTACAAATTTGAAGAAGATTTTGCTGAACGAATTTAAATTTTTTGCAAAAGAATATAACTTTACATGGAAAAGTAGCAGCCCCAAATATCCACAGTCAAATGAACAAGGGTAAAATGCAGTGAAATTATTTAAAAAGTTTTTTAAGAAAAATGATGACCCCTACGTTGGTTTTCTTGCGTATAGAAATACTAAATTAGATTGTGGTGCATCAATTGATGATGGGTCCAAATCTAAGGGAAAATTTGCCTGTATTAGATAAAAAATTAATTTCAACATTGCCGAATCATAAAGAAATTAGAAGAAATATGATAACTGAAAAGGAGCAACAGAAGAAAAATTATGATAAACGACATAGGGCAAAGGAGTTAAATTAATTAAATGAAGGTACAAAAGTTTTTATAATAACAAAAAATGCAGAAGGAAAAATTGTTAATAAACGAAAAGATGGACCAAAATTTTACATGGTGGAAATTGATACTGACATATTAAGAAGGAATAGAAGACATTTACAACCACTACCAGAAAATAATGAGATTATTGAACCGGTCACGAAGATCATCAAATACTTAATAGGCATGATTCTGAACGAACTACTTCTATGATAACAAAAGATCAAAATAAAATAGATATACAGAAAAACCACAGCAAACAAGATGAAAAAAATTATACAAGAGACAAAAATAGAGAGAGACGTTTTCCCACTAAATTCAAAGATTATTTAATGTTTAATGTAATTTTTTTTGTATGTTATTAGTAATTTTTATGCCTTCTGGAAGGCGTTCCATAACTTGAATCCTATATAAGATTCTAGCGCGTTACATAATGATTTTCGAAATTCTGAATTGAATTTTAAGTGCTTTGAACTTGCCAAAGGACTTGTTAAAGTTCTCAAGTGTACCTAGCATTTTAAATGATTTCCAGTAACTTCTAAATTGAATGAGAAACGAATTATGTGGGAAGTTTTTGTGGACATCTTAAAAACCTCCAGACGTAATGCAGACCTAAAAAAGACGTCTTTAAGACTTTGTGTTCTGTCTGGGAACAACTAAACAAAAATATTTTGAGGAAAAATTTATAACAAATAATTAAAAGGAAATCTGGAATAATATAAATACATGATGGCAAAATAAAAATAAAGCAAATTGTGAAATTGGCCAACTTTCAATTAATATGATAAAAAACTAATTTGTGAAGAAATGATTATCATTTTATTGAAGTTCGACCAAATCTTTCGAAAAATATACCAGTTATTCGATACCAAGAAGAATTAAGTACCTAATAAACATTCAATGATCCTAAATAACGACATTGCAATTGATGCAATAATTACCAATTTGGAATCAAATAAAGCTAGTGGTTATGACACAGAATTATTAAAATAATTCCAATTTTGAAATATTTATTTTGTTTTCAAAAATGGATTTTTTACAAATAAATTGAAAATATCAAAAACCAGTTTTGAAACGGGGGATAAGAAGAATCTAAATAATTACAGACCAGTATCAGTTTTACCAATATGTATTATCTAAAATCTTAGAAATACTAATGCGTACTTAGAAGATTATTAATATTTTTAGAAGAGCAAAATTTTTTTGTTTAAAAATCAATATGGATTTCGTAAATGTAAAGATAAGAAATTGATACAGTTGATGTAATTGCAGAATAAAAAATGTATTTTATGTTGAGACGTATATATGCAACGCATTTGATACTGTCAACCATAATGTATTACTTAAAAAAAATATATAATGTAATATATTCAAATTTGCAATAGTAGAAGTTTTTAAAAAATAGATAAATCATAAATGTGGTGTACCACAAGGGTCAGTAGTCAGTATTAGGGGCCCATACTTTTTCTAAATAACATTAACCCAATATCATAGGTAGGTACTTAAAATAAAATAGGAAAAAATCGACCCTAAATTTTAAAAAATCATCTTTTATATTCTCGATTAAAAATTTTCATTTTCAAGAAATTCGTATAGATTTAAAATTAAAAAATACTAATGTTAATATCAACTTTAATGAATAAAATGAGACCACAATTACCAAACTAAAATAACAAAATTATTTGAAAAAATTAAAATAAATAGGGACTTTGCAAAAAGATCAATCAATCATCCATTATGGAATTAAAATTATTTACCACGAAATATAAAAAATTTTAATTAAATGGAAAAGTTTGAAATATTAGGCAAACAACATACATATTTTAAAAACCAATTTAATATGAACAGGTGTCTAATTATTTATATATTTTATTGATTTTCTGATTTCTTTGATATATTATATACATTGTATTAAATTTATTTGGTTAAGAATATAGGTATAATCATCAAGTTATTTTTATTTTTAAATTTAAATTGTTTATGTAAAAATTTTCCGCAAAACTATTTTACAATGTTTGCAATTTTATTATTGTTTTAACTTACCTATAAATCTCCTAGTATTCATTTGATACCCGAAAAAATAGGTCTTCGGAGGCACAACTTCAGTATTAATTTTCTCGAAAAACTCTTTAGTAATCGCGGGCCCTTTAGCGAACATTTGGCTACAATTTTTTTCTAAATTCGACAAATTCGAATGTCTCCTACCCTCGTCATAATCAAAATTTCTGTCCGGAGAATTATTCAACATTTTCAAAAATACAAATTTCTCGTTTTCACGTGGTATATGGGGCAGTGTATAACTAATGAATGAACGATTTTAATATTTGTTTGAGGCGTTTTATCTCTTAAGAAATAAATAACAATTTCTTATCGGGCATCTCTTTTTGACGAAGGCAATCCTTGAAAAATGAAGATGAAAGAATAATCGTCTGAGCTTACAAATCGTTGAGTTTACACCAAAAATATTAGGTAGTTTTGTGAATCGGAAAAAACTTACCCTTTTTTTTCAGAAGAACCATGAACCATTGAGTTAATCAAAACAATGGTGAACAAACGTCTTCCGACATAATCCTGACTGAGTATTATTAGATGGAAATTTAATATTCTACTATCATCTTAATCTAAATATACCATAATTTACCTTCTGTAAACAATATAGTAGGTAATAATTATCAGAGCATCAACAATCGGTAAGCTACAATATTTTCATGTATTTGTTATATTTAGATTATCTATGCAATCTAAACATAGATATGATGGTACATAAAAATTGCCTCCAAATACCTGGATTTTTACTTCTTTCATTTGTTATGGCTATTTTTGTATTAAGTTCTTTTATTTCTGATCGTGTATCTACTTCCCAGATAATTAATGGTACTGGTACTAGGGAAATCAAACATCCGGCTAGCAATTGGACAAAGGCAGCTGGTTGTTCAAAGACAACGGAAAACCTTCATGTAGTTTACTAGTTACTAGTTTAGAAGAGCCAACAGAAGCCTGGACAAAGATAATGGACATTGCAATAAGCTCAATGCAAAACAGATTAGGATACAAGGCAAAGAACAAAAAACAAAAATGGATCACGGATGAGATTTTGTTGTTAATGGATGAGCGTCGAAAGCACAAGAACAAAACAGACAGCAACATGTACAAAGATATCCAAAAACTCATAATATCAAAGATTAGAATAGCAAAGCACGAATGGTTTAAACGTGAATGCCTAGAGATAGAGCAGCTGCAAAATCAACATGATGTCTTTAACCTGCACAAAAAACTGATGGAGACAAGCACTACATAAATTATTTAACTCTACTTATGAAACAGGTCGCTATCCCAAACAGTGATTGTGCACTACTTTTATATCTCTGCCTAAGAAGATCAATGTAAGAAAATGTGATGAATATAGACTTATTAGTCTGATACGCCATACTTTAAAAATATTTCCTAAAACCATACACCAGAGAATTCGAATAGATTCATAGATTATGAAAAGGCATTGGGTACATTCAGGCGGTCCCAGCGGCTAAACTCAGCCACTCAGCAGGGACTTTATTCTCGAAACCAAGGAACAGCGTTCTCATAAGAACGATTGCTCTGTCATTGTCAGTGTTATGCCGGACGACAAAGACAGAACCTTCGTTCCAATGAGAACGCTGCTCCCTTGTTTCGAGAATAAAGTTCCTGCCGAGTAGCTGAGCTTAGCCGCTGGGACCGCCTGAATGTACCCATTGTATCGCGTATAACACCACAAATTAATGCAGCTCCTCAATAAGCTTGATATAGACCAGAAAGACATTAGATGCATTGAAAACCTATACTGGAACTAAACAGCGCAAATCAAATTAGGCAATAATATGTCCAACGCCATACAGATTAGAAAAAGGGTGCGACAGGGATGTGTGCTGTCTCCGCTCCTGTTCAACTTATATTCGGAAGCGATTTTCCAGGAGGCTTTGAAAGACGTGGAAATGGGGGTGAAAGTTAATGGAATGTGGATTCACAATATCCGCTATGCTGACGATACGGTCTCAATTGCTGATAACATACACGACTTACAACAACTAGTTAACAAGGTAGGAGAACAGAGCACATCAATGGGGCTTAAATATCACTACCTACCATAAAAACAAAGTTTATGATTATCTCTAGAAACCCAAATATGTTGGAAAACTCCACCATAACATTTAACGCAAGGCCTATAGAGAGAGTAGATAAATTTAAGTACTTGGGGGGTCTAGCTTTTCGAAGACTGGACATCAGACAAGGAAATAAAATGTTGCATTGAACAAGCTCGACAGACATTCTTGAGGTTTCGAAGAGTGTTTGACCTTAACCTAAGACTCAAATTCATTAAATGCTACGTTTGGTAGGTTTTTCTTTACGGTATGGAAGGTTGGACATTAAAGGTGACTGCAATTAACAAATTAGAGGATTTCGAGATGTGGCTGAAGCAATGGAAAATGTTATCGCAAATATCCGCTAGTGGATACGCATCAGAAGAAGAAGAAGTTTACTTCCAACTCCCAGGAAATATCAAACTGCAATCTCAAACGACCAAGTAGGTAGTCTAATCTTTTATGAATGCATAAATATAGAACTTTTAAATAAATTCATATTAAATATTCCGGTGTAAATCAATCCAATTGGTAATAGTTGTTTATGTTTAATAAAAAATTATCAATAAATTTGAACATGCGGTTATCAGGCGCGCGACTAGTCGGTGTTGGCTCAATGAAATCCCGCCTTATTTTTCCACAGGATTTGTTATGGATATAGCGATATTGTTTGTTAAATAAATACGTAATTATGTCTATAAAATTGCCGTTAATTGCGTAAATATAAACTATAACGTTCAACCTTTATTGGAAGATTAAGGAAATTTTATTTACGTCTGTGGCTATAGACAAACAAGAAGAAAGTAAAAAACGTATAGACGTTTTGGTTTCTAATACTGACGTATTGTTTTTGCATAATTTTTTTTTAATGAAGAAGATTGATGATGAAGGTGATATTGAACAACTTATCAGAAATTAATAAACATAATAATTACAAAAAATTTCCTATACTTTAAGCACATAATCCTAAAGCCACTATTGCATATTGTCATACTTTGGCTTTTTGCCTTGAAATATTGGAAAAAATGTCGACAATACGTGAAAAAGTGCAGTTTCTAGACTTTTCTGCATTATTTCACTTCTTCTTAATCAAAATTCTATTCAAAGTAGGCACGCATACAAGCATACAAAACACTTCCTAATAGGCATATTTTTGAACTTCCGAAAAAGTGTGCAGTACCTATAAGTAAAGTACAACGACACCTAATGAAGAGCACTACAGATTTTTAAAATATAATATGAGGTTGGTAATTTACACTGCAAAACACAAAAAATTCACTACAGTTTTTTTTTTTTTTCTTTTTTTTTTCAAGTAACGAGATACGGTACTTTTGATATCTTCTGTGTAGAGTTTTGTTTCCCTGTATTAATTATCATGTCTCTATGATTGTCATTAGTTATTACTTGTTCTTCATTTTTGACTGTCATTCTTGTTCATCAAAGCCTAATTTCTAAAGGTTATTCAGTATATCATTACAATTAAATAAACAAGATAGATAAACTCTTAAGACCTGAACCATTTGACGATGATCAAAACTCCCCCCAAGCTGATCAAGAGTGGACTCACTGGAAAGCAACCTTCAACAATTTCATTGATAAAACTAAATAAAACTCTTGGTAAACTTTGTAAGTCATAACAATTACGAGCACATATCCTCCTGTTCCTCTCACTCAGAAGCTATTAAGATTTTGGATTCAATTTTCATTAAATCTAAAAATGAAATATTTGCCAAACACTTCCTTACCTCCAGGAAGAAATAACGAGGGACAGTTGATCAGTACAGGACTGAACTTCGAAGCTGTCAGCACTGAGAAGAGGGTGGTACGCTTTAGGGTTTAAAAATGATTTTTTTTTTGAAATTTTGGTGGTAATCGATTAGTTTTGACTTAAACTTTAGGAAAAAGTGCATAATTTTTGGAAAAATGCGAAATTGTAGTAATTATTTGAATATTTTTACTAACCTCGATCTTTGATTTCAACATTTAATTTTCCCCTTACCAGCATTTATTACAATTATTCTTAGCTCTATATTAAGTAATTGTGTAATGAAGGCATATAGTATTTTGTTTGAATTCAAATACATACAATATTTATTATAATATTTGCTGTCGACTGCTCGGGAAACTTTTTATTAATTTTGTTTCAAAAGTCAACGGTCAAAGTAAACACAACATGGGAGTGGCTAATGCGTAAGAAACATGGGTCAAACATCAATGATGTGTGTCTGTTTCTACACTAGGTTTTGATTTTTTTGGTTGTTTTTTTGCTCCTAATTGCGATTAGTAGCTATTTATTTTCTAGAAAATGCCTGCGATATGTACTGTACTTGATTGTGAGAGCCGTTCTAAGGTTTTTACGTATTTGGCGAATTTCATTTAGGTACTCAAGCATTTTCTCTTCGAGATTAGGCAAGCCGTAGTGACCAATCGTAGACTTGAAAATGATTCGAACACTTTCTCGTGGATCTTCTCCGTTTTCAGAAATCTTTGTATACGATTTCGAGAAGCTTGAACTGGATATTGCAAAATCAGCTATTATTTCAATCGACGATAACACTCCATTTGCAATTGAGACTGATGCTTCAGAACATTCCAACGCAGTAATTTTGAGTTAAGCAGGAAGGCCAGTTGCATCACACTAAGAGAGTGTGAACAAAATCATTCATCTGTTGAAAAAGAAGCTTATTCCATAGTCGAAGCGATTAAGAAATGGAGACATTTTTTGATTGGTCGTCCGCTGGTTCCGAAATGAATATTTACCTAGAAAAATATTGAAAACATTTTGCAGAGAAAATAACTGTCATATGTTGGTGAAGTGCAGTACAATTCTGGAAGCCTATAGTGGAGCAAAGTTCAAACCAATTGGAAAAATCAATTTGCAGTGTTCAAGGTTTGGTATAGTAGGTATTTGAGCTAGAATTTTTGATTGTTGATTTGTTAAACCAACATTAGGATTACCATCTAGGTTGAAAATAATTAAAAATACTGGAAGTATGCGAGAGGTTAGTCAGAATATTGATTTGAATCCAAATATAAATAAGAAATTGATTAGTGAATATAACAATGTTTTTGAGGGTATAGGCACTTCTTCAGATACTTGTAAAATTGAACTAAAAGAAAACAGTATACCAGTGGCTAGACTTGCTCGTCGGGTTCCTTTAGCTATAAAAGATAGATTAAAACAAAAATTAGATAAATTAG